CGACGACGACGACGACGACGACGACGACGACGACGACGACGACGACGACGAATTTGTGTGCTGCCGGCGGAAGCGTCGGCCGTGGAACGCACGTCTCCACGGGGCCACCGCCGCGCCGCCAGCGACGACGAAGACGAGCGCGCGGGGGCACCCGGATTATTGATGATTCGGCACCCCACACGCCGGCGCGCTGTATGCGACGAGAGAGCCGCGCCATGCGTTGCACGTGGCTGCACAGGGTTGGGCCCTTCGCCAGGCGAGGTCTTTTTGCTGATGAGCGATGCCCCTTTGGCTAAGAGGGCGGGGGAGAGGAGAGATGGCAAGAGACGAGCTGGGTGCGCAAGACGAGCAAGAGATAGCAAGAGACGAAGTCGAGCACTCGGGGCGGCGAGGGGAGGGGGCTCCTCCTCTCCCCATGGAGGGCGGGGGAGAGGAGAGATGGCAAGAGACGAGCTGGGTGCGCAAGACGAGCAAGAGATAGTAAGAGACGAAGTCGAGCACGCGGGGTGGGGAGGGGAGGGGGCTCCTCCTCTCCCCTGGAGGGCGGGGGAGAGGAGAGATGGCAAGAGACAAGCTGGGTGCGCAAGACGAGCAAGAGATAGTAAGAGACGAAGTCGAGCACTCGGGGTGGGGAGGAGAGGGGGCTCCTCCTCTCCCCTGGAGGGCGGGGGAGAGGAGAGATGGCAAGAGACGAGCTAGGTTTAAGTCGGGCCTGTCCCTACACAGGAGGAATATTCAGAAGCAGTTTAAGAAATAGTCTGGGAACGATGCTTTGATTATGCTTGGGTAAATTTGGAACATGTTTTGACTATTTCCCAACCATCCTGTGGTGTTGGGTCCTCGTTTTGAAGAGACGGTGCCCGCGTCCTCTCCTCTCCTCCTCTTCCCCCTCCTCCCTCCTCCTCCTCCTCCTCCTCCTCCTCCTCCTCCTCCTCCTCCTCCTCCTCCTCCTCCTCTCATCATCAGCATCATCATCATCGTCATCGTCACCGTCATCATCAGCATCATCATCATCATCGTTCTTATCACCATCGTCGTCATCATCATCGCCGTCTCCATCATGGCCACACGTTTCGTGGACCCATAGTGAGCTCCACCGAAGGCCCCAGTGGCAAGGTCCGCATGCGGTTCCACCTCCATTTCGGCGCACCCCTCACACGTTCCGTGGCCCCATAGGGAGCTCCACCGAAGGCCCAAGTGTCAGGGTCCGCATGCGGTTCCACCTCCATTTCGGCGCACCCCTCACACGTTTCGTGGCCCCATAGGGAGCTCCACCGAAGGCCCAAGTGTCAGGGTCCGCATGCGGTTCCACCTCCATTTCGGCGCACCCCTCACACGTTTCGTGGCCCCATAGGGAGCTCCACCGAAGGCCCAAGTGTCAGGGTCCGCATGCGGTTCCACCTCCATTTCGGCGCACCCCTCACACGTTTCGTGGCCCCATAGGGAGCTCCACCGAAGGCCCAGTGGCAGGGTCCGCATGCGGTTCCACCTCCATTTCGGCGCACCCCTCACACGTTTCGTGGCCCCATAGGGAGCTCCACCGAAGGCCCCAGTGTCAGGGTCCGCATGCGGTTCCACCTCCATTTCGGCGCACCTCTCACACGTTTCGTGGCCCCATAGGGAGCTCCACCGAAGGCCCAAGTGTCAGGGTCCGCATGCGGTTCCACCTCCATTTCGGCGCACCCCTCACACGTTTCGTGGCCCCATAGGGAGCTCCACCGAAGGCCCCAGTGTCAGGGTCCGCATGCGGTTCCACCTCCATTTCGGCGCACCCCTCACACGTTTCGTGGCCCCATAGGGAGCTCCACCGAAGGCCCAAGTGTCAGGGTCCGCATGCGGTTCCACCTCCATTTCGGCGCACCCCTCACACGCTTCGTGGCCCCATAGGGAGCTCCACCTGAGGCCCCAGTGGCAGGGTCCGCATGCAGTTCCACCTCCATTTCGGCGCACCCCTCACACGTTTCGTGGCCCCATAGGGAGCTCTGCCTAAGGCCTAAGTGGCAGGGTCCGCATGCAGTTCCACTTCCATTTCGGCGCACCCCTCACACGTTTCGTGGCGTCATAGGGAGCTCCGCCTAAGGCCCAAGTGGCAGGGTCCGCATGCAGTTCCACCTCCATTTCGGCACACCCCTCACACGTTTCGTGGCCCCATAGAGAGCTCCGCCTAAGGCCCAAGTGGCAGGGTCCGCATGCAGTTCCACCTCCATTTCGGCGCACCCCTCACACGTTTCGCGGCCCCATAGGGAGCTCCACCGAGGGCGCCAATGGCAGGGTCCGCATGCAGTTCCACCTCCATTTCGGCGCACCCCTCACACGTTTCGCGGCCCCACAGGGTGCTCCACCGAAGGCCCCAGTGGCAGGGTCCGCATGCAGTTCCACCTCCATTTGGCGCACCTCTCACACGCTTCGTGGCCCCATCGGGTGTTCCACCAACGACGATACTTACAACGGCGGCATTCGGAATTGCGTATGGTTGGGCCCTTCGCCAGGATAATTTTTTTCCGCCCAAGAGCCGCCTGTAGGGGGGACAGGCCCGACTTAAAGCTAGGAGGTGCGCAAGCGTCATATCTGACGTCATACCCCTCCCTCCCATCCCTTACCATCGCGTAGGGGCCCTCGCTATTCGCACAGTCCGACGTCGAACAGGACGATGGTCCCGAGAGGGTACGCGATGCAGTGCAAAGCACGGCATAGCACGGCATAGAAAATCACGGCCACGGCCGACGTCGTCGGTTCGAGAACGCGACTCATTTCGACAGCCAAGTCAGAGGGAAACTAGAAATGATACAGAGCGGGTAATGCAAATGGACGGCTTGGAAAGCGGGAAGCGCAAAATGAGATCAGAATTGTAGCGGGAACACGATTTCGAAGGACCGAACCCGCGGAAATGAGACCAGCGCTGCAGTGGGAGCACGCGCGGAACCGAAGCCAGCGCTGCAGGAGGAGGACGATGTGGAAGACCCGCAACAATGAAATGAGGTCAGCGCTGCAGCGGGCACATGTTCTGGAAGGACTGAGAACGGGAGAATGGACCCAACGCTGTAGCGGGAGCTCCAACCTGAAAGGACCGAAAACGCTCGGATTGGAAATTAGCCTGACGAAAGGCCCAACCATACGTAGTTGTGAATACCGCAATTGTGGATATATTCCTCGGTGGCGCTCCCTATGGGGCCACGAACCGCATGCGAGCGCAGACGCTGGGGCCTTCGGTGGAGCTCCCTATGGGGCCACGAAACGAGTGAGGGGTGTGCCGAAATGGGGGGTGGAACCGCATGCGAGCGCAGCCACTGGGGCATTCGGTGGAGCTCCCTATGGGGCCACGAAGCATGTGAGGGGTGTGCCAGAATTGGGGGTGGAACCCCATGCGAGCGCAGCCACTGGGGCCTTCGGTGGAGCTCCCTATGGAGCCACGAAACGAGTGAGGGGTGTGCCGAAATGGGGGGTGGAACAGCATGCGAGCGCAGCCACTGGGGCCTTCGGTGGAGCTCCTATGGGGCCACGAAACGAGTGAGGGGTGTGCCGAAACCGCATGCGGGCGCAGCACTGGGGCCTTCGGTGGAGCTCCCTATGGGGCCACGAAACGTGCCTGCATGCCACTGGGCGTTCGGTGGAGCTCCCTATGGGGCCACGAACGTGTGAAGGGTGTGCGGGGGGTGGAACCGCATGGGGGGTGGAACCGCCATGCGAGCGCAGCCACTGGGGCGTTCGGTGGAGCTCCCTATGGGCCACGAAACGTGTGAGGGGTGTGCCGAAAGGGGGGGTGGAACCGCATGCGAGCGCAGCCACTGGGGCCTTCGGTGGAGCTCCCTATGGGGCCACGAAACGTGTGAGGGGTGTGCCAGAATGGGGGGTGGAATCGCATGCGAGCGCAGCCACTGGGGCCTTCGGTGGAGCTCCCTATGGGGCCACGAAACGAGTGAGGGGTGTGCCGAAATGGGGGGGTGGAACCGCATGCGAGCGCAGCCACTGGGGCCTTCGGTGGAGCTCCCTATGGGGCCACGAAACGTGTGAGGGGTGTGCCAGAATGGGGGGTGGAACCGCATGCGGGCGCAGCCACTGGGGCCTTCGGTGGAGCTCCCTATGGGGCCACGAAACGTGTGAGGGGTGTGCCAAATGGGGGGTGGAACCGCATGCGAGCGCAGCCACTGGGGCCTTCGGTGGAGCTCCCTGTGGGGCCACGAAACGTGTGAGGGGTGTGCCGAAAAGGGGGGTGGAACCGCATGCGAGCGCAGCCACTGGGGCCTTCGGTGGAGCTCCCTTTGGGGCCACGAAACGTGTGAGGGGTGTGCCGAAATGGGTGCAGGGGACGCATGCTGATGATGATGATGATGATGATGATGATGATGATGATGATGATGATGATGATGATGATGATGATGATGATGATGATGATGATGATGATGGTGATGGTGATGGTGATGGTGATGGTGATGGTGATGGTGATGATGCGGAGGATGATGCTGAGTATGATGATGATGATTATGATGATGATGCTGATGATTAGGAGGAGGATGACAATGATGATGATGGTGGCGATAACAGCGATGATGATGGCGATGATGGTGATGATGACGATGATGACGATGATGACGACGGCGATGATGATGATGACGATGACGACGATGATGGTGATGATGATGACGATGATGATGATGATGACGGGAGGAGGGAGAGGGCGGAGGAGGAGAGGAGAGGAGAGGAGGACGCGGGGCACCGTCTCTTCAAAACGAGGACCCAACACCACAGGATGGTTGGGAAAAACACAGGTTACTCGCCAACTCTGCGGCATCCTGTGCGTAAAATACGTAGAGGTGGCCAGGACACCTCATCTGCGTCTTCGGGAAAGAGAGGAGAGCAGCATTCACATTGGTAATTGTGGAACGGCGGAAGGGAAAGAGGCTTCCGCCTCCGCCCTCCCTTTCCTCCCTCCTCGTCACCGTCCTCCCCCAACGCGGGCGTTCTCCGTAAGTTCGCAGTCCGACCGCCGCAATTGTGGCGAGGCGATGGCTTGGTACGAGGCCATCAGCGAGAGGGACAACGGCGACATCTCCTTGCAGGCCCAAGAGACGGAGGGGAGGAGAAGGAGGAGTAGGAGGAGAAGAAGCAAGATGAAAATCAGCGGGGCGAAGGAAAAAGAAGGGCGAGGATGAGGAGGAGGAGGAGGAGGAGGAGGAGGGAGGATGGAGGGGGAGGAGGAGGACGGATAAAGAGGTCGCGAGACTTTGGACGCCAGACCTCATCTTCATCCTGCTGCTCCTCCTCCTCATCCGTGCAATCATCATGGTCACAAGACCCATCAGCATCAGCAGAATCATCATCATCAGCATCATCATCATCAGCATCATCATCATCATTATCAGCATCATCATCACCATCAGTATCCTTGTCATCGTCGTCATCGTCATCGTCATCACCAGCAGCAGCAGTATCGCCATCATTGTTATAATCATTATCAGCATCAGCATCATCATCATCATCATCATCATCATCATCACTATCACCATCGTGATCACATCATTGCCATCATCATCACCATCATCAGCAGCAGCATCACCATCAACACCCTCATCCTCTTCCCCCTCATCCACAACTATTCCCATAATCTTCATCAGTGCCGTCGTCATCATCATTAGCATCGTCATCATCATCATCAGCAGCAGCATCACCAGCATCAGCATGACCATCATCCCCCTTCTGCTGTTCCTCCTCCTCTTCCTCATCCCTCTTCCAGAACTCACCAGGAAACCCAGAATTCCCAGGACACCGTTTGTTAATGGAATCAGGATATCCTTAACAAATCCTTGGAGTCCCCCTTCCTCTCCCCCCTTCATCCCTCCTCATCCTGCCCGTTCTCTTCCTTCTGCTGCTGCTACTGCTCCTCCTTCTCCTCCACCTCCTCCTCCTGACAATCCTCCTCTTTCGTTTGATCATGTTAATTCTCCTCTCCATTCCGAACACCCCCGCGAAATCCGAAAGAAGCATGTGGGACCGTGAAACAAGTTTGGGCATGCTTGACATCTCCTTCTCCCCGATCCTCCCCCTGCATGATTACATCCTTCCTCCTATTCTCCATAGTCACGATTAGCAGCAGCGCCATTACACATCACCATTATCCTCATCATGGCAATCATCAAAACCGTCATCATGGACCCTTCTGACAATGTCCTTTCCTCCCCCTCGGCCTTCCCGTCCTTCTGCTTCATCCTCCTTCATCCCTCTTCGTTATCGAAGACGCCTGCGGTGAACCACCGCCGACCCCTGCCTTTTGGATTCACGCATGTGACTAAGCGCGGGGCATCTAGCATATAAGGGACCGCTTGGTTTAGGCAGGCAGTGAACAACATTTTGGGAGAATCCATGATGTGTTGCCTGCTGATGACCTCATTGAGTTCGTCGTGGACCAACTTGCAGCGCCTCACGGGCCTCTAGGGCCTTCTTGAGGCCATCTTGGGCCGTATTGGGGGCCGTCTTGGGGGCATTTTGGGACCATCTTGAGCTCCTTTGGGGCCGTCTTGATGCCTTGGAGGTGTCGTGGAATCTACATTTGCCATCTTGAAGACGTGTTTTTGTGTCCCGGCTTTTATGGTGCCTTCCGGATGGCTCGCGGGTTGAGCCAGAGCCCGATTGAGAGCTTGTCTCAAGGGCCAGAACATCCCATTGTTTGTCTCAACAACAACGACGACAACAAAAAACAACAAGAAACGCCAACAACCACTCTTGAAAGCGACAGGGCGCAACGGATCGTGTGGCCTCCAGCCCATGCCGCCACCAAGCCTGCCTGGGTCGTGGACAGGAGGCGTCTTGGAAGTTTGTTGGGGGCACCTTGCAGGTCTCACGGGGACATCCGAGGCCGTCTTGAGGATATCTCGGAGCCCTCTCGGGCCGTGTAAAGACCCTCTGGAACCGCCTGGAAGCCCTCCTGGGCCGTCTTGGGGGTCCATGGCCCCGTTCGAGAATGCACGCGATGCAGCATAGAGCGCCCAGAAATCTGAAGCCTGGGTTTCTGAAAAAGTATGATGGACAATTCGCAGGGAACTCGAATTGACCTTAGGGCACTGCGCCCAGTCCCTCACGTGGATACACAACCTCTCCTCGTCGCACTACATGGCGTGTCAGCAGGGCGGGCTGGGCGTTTCGCCTGCGACCTCACCTTGTATCGACGACCTCGACGGCGACCACGACGATGGCCACGACGACGACAACGACGATGACGAGGATTACGACAATGAAGAAGACGACGGCAACGGCCACGACGACCACCACGACGACGGCGAAGACCACGACGACCACCACCACCACCATCGCCACACCACAACGGCGTCCACGACGACGACGACGTCGACGACCACGATTGCGACCACGCCGACTGCAACCTCGACGGCGACCACGACGGCGACCACGACGGCGGCCACGACGACGACCACGACGACCACGACGACCACGACGGCGACAGCGACGGCGGCGGCGACGACGGCGCCCTCGCAGCGGCCGCTGAAGGCGAAGCGCCTCTTCGACGACTCCGCGCAGAGGCAGAGGCGGGCACCGGCGCCGCCCCCCCCCGAAGTGGGAGGAGGGAGGAGGAGGAGGGAGAAGGAGGGGCGAGGAGGGAGGAGTGAAGGAGGGAGGAGGGAGGGAGGAGGGAGGGAGGAGGGAGGGAGGAGGAGGATGAGGAGGAGGGAGGAGGGAGGAAGGAGGGAGGGAGGAGGAGGGAGGAGGGAGGGAGGAGGGAGGGAGGAGGAGGATGTTTCTTTGGCCGCGGGTGGGAGACAAGCGCCAACTCCCGAACACTCGTCACCGCGACGAGCGGGGCCGACCGAAGGGCCCGGAACGACGCGAGGCGAGGGCCAAAGGGGACCACGCGGCGGAGGGACAACGACCGAGAGAGAGCCGAGGCCCGAAGCAACGAGGCGACAAAACGCTGGCAAGAGCCGGCAAGCTGGCAAGCTAATCACAGGCAGTGCAAACTACCGTCATCTATCACCATCGTCACCTTCATCAATCCCCCCAAAAATCCCTCCCACCACCCACGTCTACAAGAAAGAGCTACCGCTTGCTACGGGGCCCGCTCGTCTGCATGGAGCATGGAGGCCGCGGGTCCACATCAGCGTGGCGATCAGGTGGTCGATGCGAGTTCGATGCGAACCTGAAGGGAGGCTCGGCACGAACATGATCTGGAGGTTTGCCACGAACAGTTTCAGGAAGAAGCATATGAAAGGGCTGGGGAGGAATTGCACCATCGTGAGGACCAGCCTCATCACGAACAGGATCCACACGATCGGCACCCTGAACGCGTTCACGAACAGGTTCCTGGAAAGGGTCACGAATCGGGTGGAGCCAAGCACAGGCAACTACCAAGCGCGCGGCCCACCAGGATGCTCCGTGAACGACATGACGTCCAGGATGGCAGCCTCCAGAAGGACTGCTTTCAGGACGCTCCCCACGAACATGCTCAGAAGGTTTGCCGCGAGCAGCTTCAGGCAGAACGAGATGTACAGAAAGAGCTGCACCACCGTGGAGACCAGGCTCATCGAGAACAGGTTCCACACAATGGGCACCAACACGATCGGCGCCAAGAACCAATTCACCAACGGTTTCTTGCAGAGCCCCTTCATCACGGTCAGGACATTGAACGCATTTATGAGGCTCAGCGTCGTAAGGAACAGCGAAGTCTTGTTGAAGACACCCCCGTTTCGGCGACAAGAACGTCTGCAGCATAGCCCTCGTCGCCAGCACCATGTGGCACAGGGACTTCGGCTGCACGTCCAGTATCTGCATGCAGAAGCAAGGGTAGACGAGCCTCATCAGCCCCTTCACAAGGAACTGCAACACTGGCAACCACGACCAGAGAATGCACATCAACCTCAAAGGCAGGTCCGTCATGAAAAGACAACGACGTTCCGCAGCTGCCTGGGGGCGCCCGATGACGCGCTCAGGCAGCTGCGGACGCAGCAGCCCAAACCTTGCCCTCGAGCAGAGCATCGCTACATGGCCTCATGCGCAAAGCAGGCGCGATGCTGAGAGGCGCGTCACGGAGCGTGGGCCCTCCTGTGAGCCCGGCTCTCTTGAGTCAAAATGGTTGCGGAGGGGGGAGGAGGAGGAGAAAGCGGAGGGCCAGTGCAAACCCAAGACTCATCCACGATATTGCAGTCCTCCTTCCAAGTTCCCTCTTCACAGGCCTCTACAAAGGTTCATTTTCACTCAGGGAACTGCCCCGTTGAAAGACAACCGTTTCAAATTCCAGAACGGTGCCAGAACACCATTCTTGGGATTTTAACGCCGCGAGTCACCGTTACGATTGTGTCTTGACCATCCTAGATCGTGCCAGAACGCCATTCTTGGGACTTCAACGCCGCGAATCAACAAGACTGTTGCGCCCTGACATTACGACATCTTGCCAAAACACCAATTGTGGAACGTCACGAGAATCCTTGACACTACTGCTGGCTCGAAAGACGAATATGCGCGGCGCTTAGGCGACAGCCACATTTTGAAAAGGAAGCGCCCTCCATCCGCGAAACTCTTGCGAACTTTTAAGACGAATGCGCGCGGCGCTAAGGCGAGAGCCCAGTTTTGAAAGGTGACTGCTACCCATCTGCAAAGCTCTAGCAATATGATAGATGAATGCGCGCGGCGCTAAGGCGAGAGCCACATCTTGAAAGCAACCCGCCCTTCATCCGTGAAACTGCTATAAATGTTTAGGACGAGTGTGCGCGGCGCGAGGGCGAGAGAGCCACACTCTGAGAGCGATCCGCCGTCCATCCGTGAAACGAACGCAGATGTGTAGAACGAATGTGCGCGGCGCTACGGCGAGAGCCACAGCTTGAAAGCCACCGGCCCTCCAACCGTGAAGCTGTCGTAAATGTTTGGGACGAGTGCGCGGCGCGAAGGCGAGAGCCACAAACTTTGAGCTTCGGGGTCATAAGTGGTGCGGAGGCCTAGGGCGACACGCCCAGCCCGCCCTTTCGACCGGCGCCGGGGTGCGACAGGGAGGAGTTCTTGATAAGGAAGCGGGATGGAGGAGGAGGAGGAGGAAGAGGAGGAAGAGGAGGAGGAGGAGGAGAAAGAAGAGGAGGAGGAGAAGGGAGGGAGGGAGGGAGGGAGGGAGGAGGATGAGGAGGAGAGGAGGAGGAAGAGGAGGAAGAGGAGGAGGAGGAGGAGAGAGAAGAGGGAGGGAGGGAGGGAGGGAGGGAGGGGGAGGAGGAGAGAGGAGGAGGAGGAGGAGAGGAAGAGGAGGAGGAGGAGGGAGGGAATTTAGGGAGGGAGGGAGCAGGGCAGGAGGGCGGGCCAACTCCTGGCCTTCTTATCCTTTGTCTCTCGTGTCTCGTGCCCCTGCCCCCCCCTTTGCTGCTCGCACTCATGGCCCCCCGCCCGTCTTCTCTCCTCCTACTCCTCCGCCTCCTCCTCCTCCTCCTCCTCCTCCTCCTCCTCCTCCTCCTCCTCCTCATCCTCCTCCTCCTCCCCTCCTCCTCCTCCTCCTCCTCCTCCTCCTCCTCCCCTCCTCCTCCTCCTCCGCTCCTCCTCCTCCTCCTCCTCCTCCTCCTTCCTCCCTCCTCCTCCTCCTCCTCCTCTCCTCCTCCTCTCCTCCTCCTTCCTCCTCCTCCTCCTCCTCCTCCTCCTCCTCCTCCTCCTTCCTCCTCCTCCTCCTCCTCCTCCTCCTCCCTCCCTCCTCCTCCTCCTCCTTCCTCCTCCTCTCCTCCTCCTCCTCCTCTCCTCCTCCTCCTCCTCCCTCCTCCCCCCCCGAGATCCGTATACCAAGCACAGGGGGCCCGCTCTCCGCCCCCCCGCCGCCCTCTTCTCCTCCCGTCAGTCCCCCCTCGCCCGTCCCATTGCGCCTTCTCGCTGCGACGTTCCCCCTCCTCCACCAAACGCTCATCCTAGTTCGGACTACCCCTCCGCCTCTTGTAAGAGATCGCTTCTTGAAAGGCACACACACACACACACGAATTCCGACAACGAAAACAACAGCAGCAGCAGCAGCAACAACAATGAGGCGTTCGTGCCCCCCCCTTCCCCTCGTAATCCTCCGCCTCCTCCTCCTCCTCCTCCCTCTCCTTCTCCTCCTCTTCCACCACATCCCTCTGTTTCTGTTGCTTCTACAACAAGAGCCCGTGGACACAGTTTGAGTCGCCGACGTGCGAAGATCCACTTGACAGGTTGAGACTGCATCGTACACCCTCCTCCATTTCATCATCAACCATCCTCCTATTCCTGCGCCTTCACCTCCTCGGCCACCACGAACACGCAATATTTCGTCGCGCCACCAGACTCGCAGGTGGCGCGGCCTAGTCGATTATGTATGACTCGGGAGCTTAGATCGTCCAGCATCCGCGTGGATGGAAGGGGGGTCGTTTTCTTCACAACGTGTGTGCCGACAGCTTGCAGATAGCAAAAGAGACAGGGAGAGGGTGGAACATTTCCAAAATCCTGCGCTCGTTTCCGAATTCCTCAATCGCTTCTGATTCGCACGTGTTTCCGCACAGGACGACGTGTATAATCTGATTCGGGCGCCCGGGCGCCGCCGCCTAGCCCCGCATAGGGCCGTCCCCCTGGGACGCTATAGGCGCAGCCTCAGCCTCACAAGTTGTGACAGTGAATCCTGGAGATTCGAATGAGTGTGCTGATGGAGCGTGGTGGAGTTTCAAAGCCGAGTTCTCGCTAAAGGCAGACACAGATGCTTTCTATGTGATCCTAGGTTGTGGCGCTTCTGACTGCTGTGTGGGGTGGAGGACAGGTGGTTCCCAAAGTATTTTGCTCGTTCGAGACCACAGTTAGCACTAGGAATGGCAGGCGCTAGCGTTCCAACAGTTACATGTTGAAAACATGTGTTTTCAAAAGTGGGAGTTCGCAGAGAACGGATTCACTTAGTTCTAGAACTCGATACCCCCAAAACATAAACGGATAGAGGGTGGATGTGTTTGCTTCGCGCATGTTCTTGAAAGTCTGTGTTCCTGAGTCTGCCGCTGTGTGATCAGAAGGATTCGACCGGTGCAATAAGTACAGTGACGGAGGTCGATCATGCTCCACAATAGTGGTCCCGCTTCAGCGCCGCACGCATGTGCCGTAAATCTTCTGAACGTTCAACAGGTGAACGGCGACCCCATTTCAATGCCACTGCGCTTTGCCGACCGAGGTTCTAGGCACGCCCTCGAGTTGTTGACAAGCCCAGCCTGCCCAAGACCCAATCCCTCGGCGGTGCCACAGGAACATCACCAGTACTGCTTTCAATTGCGTGATTGCATGGCATGCCCATCGGGACATCCCCTTCCTGGCGGGCGCTTGCCACAGTAAAGAGGGAACACATGACTTCACATATCAGGAAGGGGCGTGGCATGGAAGGTGGCACTGCAGCAGCAGTGGCATGTCGTGCGTTCTTCCCGGCGTCATCAGCAGCATCACCAGGTTGCTCCTCATCCGCCTCCCTCGGAGGAGTTCCAGAGCGCGCCTAGCATAGCACGTGATCGTGCACAGCGCCTCCGAAAAGTGCTCATGCTCGGCATCCTGGCCCGTATGCTCGTCCGCCCCCTCCACAGCATGA